TTAGGGTTTAGGGTTTTTGGCTTAGCATTTCCTCAACTCACTAAACTAATATAAACCAAAGCAGGTTCACAAACATGTGGCGTAGAGCTCCAGTGCCCCCGCATCTCTTCATTATTTGACGGAGGGGTTACGATTCCTTTCTGGACCTGTTTACCAACGAAGTTTGTGGCATCCAGGCATGGGCCTGTAAGAAGTGTAGCATTCAATCAGCGTATATACTTCGGTCCCACAAAGGACTTCCCGTTGTCTAATCCTGGGCCTGTGTATCTCTAAGACCCAAGCCCGAAACCCTAAACCCCAAAAGGGACCCTAACTTCGAGAACTGCCCATTTGTATAACTGTAGCCTTAGATTAAACCGGCGATGGACACGATGCCAGGAGCCTTCCATGGTTCCAGAATAACGGTTAAAGCTTGCCAGCACGATCCGCAAAAAGGTGAGATTCTATTATATAGGAAGCTGTACAAGAAGCAGTGCTATCTTTGTGAAGTAGTGCATGCATACATCACGAAATTGTGGTGCTGCATGCAGCCAAGAAACGCAGAAGCAAACAACGAAGGCATCCAAAGCCTCCGCAAGCACAGCAAGCTTAAGACTGCAGGTGGGGGTGCAAATGTACGCTTAAATCCTATAACTAATAAACTGCAACCGTAAAGCTCCAAGGACTCATGTGTTTGGAAGCTTTGGGACCCAGACCATGCTATACAAGGTTTCTGGGCTAGTGGAAGCTGCTGGGCGAAGCAACTAGCCCCCCTCTGTTCCGCTCCTAATCCCTAAACCATCGACCCTAAAACCCTAAGCCCCTAAACCCCCAAACCCTAAACCCGAAACCCCTAAACCCTAAACCCAAACCCCTAAACCCTAAACGCCCAGCCCTAAACTCTAAACCCCTAAACCCCTAAACCCCTAAACCCGAAACCCTAAAGCCCTAAAGCCCTAAACCCTGAAGCCCTAAACCCTTTATTGCATGAGGATCCTTCCGTCAGCTTCCCTCGTGGCGCCCCAGAGTAGAATCCAGAAGGACCAAGGTTCTTAAGGTTAGGGCTTCGGGTTTAGGGGTTTAAGTTAGGGTTCAGGGGTTTAGGGTTTAGGGGTTTAGGGTTTAGGGGTTTAGGGTTTAGGGTTTACGGGTTTAGGGGTTTAGGGTTTTAGGGTTTAGGGCTTTAGGGGTAGTAGGGGTTCGGGCGTCGGATTCAGGGTCTGAGGGGTTTAGGGGAGTCAGTGGCATGCCTTGCTAGGCACCAGCGGATCCCGGCAGTCACTCAGGCCTTCTGCCTCAGTGTCTGCTGCAGGTTTGTGCACAGGAACTCCGTATGTGAAGCAAACCAGCAGCTCGAATCCCTGAACCCTTTTTTGTATTATGTCAATAAGCTTAGAACCAAACCCTGGGAGGGCCTGCCTTGGGGGGTCTCGCCGCCGTAGACGGCTGGGGTGGATGTACTGTGGGGGCCTTGAGAATTAAGATAGGGTCTTGGGGTATTGTATGCTTATCAGAATGTTAATAAGGAGCCCACAAAATAGTTGCGGTAATTATTTAGACTCCTAGATTATTTGTGGGATGGCCTTCCACGGTCCGGCCTCTGCTGCATGTCGCAAAGCACTGAGCGCTCGGTACATCTACGTTGCAAAACTTCCACTACTGCAACGTGACACTAACCCCCCAGGTACCTACTAACTATATAGGGCCCTAGGGGCTCTAGTACCCTATGTAGTAGGTACCTGGGAGGTTCTATACTGAACTTAGACCCCTAGCAAAAACTATAATTTTAGCTGCTTCTTAGGGTTTATAGTAATCAAAGATTAAAAATTATTTCTAAGTACCCCTAAGGGTTAGGGTGATGTCACAGCAAACCTTAAAGCCCTTACGCGCTGGACCCCAAGCCCAACATCCAAAACCTGACGATGCCAGACCCAAAACCCAAGACCAGCAAGTTGAAATCCTTAAACCATAAACCATAAAGAAACCCATAAACCCTATAAAGAAACCCGTAAACCCTATAAAGAAACCCACTAAACCCAATAAAGAAACCCACTAAACCCAATAAAGAAACCCACTAAACCCTATGAAGAACCCACTAAACCCGATAAAGAAACCCACTAAACCCGACAAAGAAACCCACTAAACCCGATAAACAAACCCACCAAACCCTATAAAGAAGCCCAATAAACCCTTATAAAGAAACCCACTCAACCCTGTAAAGAAACCCATCGCCCCGATCCAAGTGAGGACTCTCCCACCTGAATAGGCTCAATTGCGAAGGCCAGCTCCCCATCTTGCGTCACTCCCGTTGGAGTGTACCTGGTGGGGACCCCGAAGGGTCCAGAGGACCCTAAACCCTAAACCCCTAAACCCTCAACCCTAAACCCCTAAACCCTAAATCCTAAATTGGTTGCGGATTTGGGAGAGTATATGGTTAGTAGGTACTTGGGCCCTTAGGGGAGGGTGCAGGGCTTAAGAGGTTGCTTTAGGGTTTAGGGTTTAGGGTACCCGGACCCCAGGAGTATGTAGAATAATAGCCCCTTGCTAGGCTTTGGGCCATTAGGTTACCTATTTTTTTGGGGGTTTACGGTCAGGATTGAAGGCTTACTCGTTTAGGGGTTTAGGGCTAGACGCTTTAGGGTTTAAGGGCTTGAGGGTTTGGAATTCTACGGTTATAGGGTTTAAGGGCTTTTTGCATAATAAGGAATATTCCAGAATTCCCATAGTTTAGGATCCTTAACGTAATGCAGGATTTATATCGTCAACCGTATGTCTTCATGAATGCTTTACAAGTGGCCATGTTGTCCTCCTACTGGAGAACCCTACATTGAACAGTTAGGATCTGGCTTTGGTGGATCTTGCACCGTAGGAGTTTTAGGGATGCCGTCGGAATAGTATTACCGACTAGGTGCTTCGGGTTTAGGGGTGTAGGGTTTAGGGGGGTTAGGGGACAGGTTCTACTGCTGATGATATAAGGCCCTGCATTACCTTAAGGACCCAAAACTATGGGAACTATGGTATATTACTTATTATCGGTAATGGAACCCTAAACCCTAAACCCTAAACCTTAAAGTTTATAAAATTCACCGTGGTTGTTTAAGTTTCTTGGGTTCAGGCTCGGGGTTTGAAAGGACTTGGGAGGTTTAGATCTTCTTGGAGATGAAGGGTTTTCCGAAAATAGGGGACCCTAATATAGTACTCTAAATAGTAGGATCCTTATTATAAGGACCCCAAAATAAGGTACCCCTTACTTTCTGAAATTCCTATGAAGGTGTGTGGAGTCTGTCTCGCCGCATGGGTTTAGGGTTTAGGCTTTTGGGTTTTGGGTTTAGGGTTTAGGGTCTGTGCGGAGACTGTCTCGCCGCATGAAGCTTGCGATATCCTCAGAAGGGTCCTTGTATCCATATGAGTACACTTTGGCCCTAAATTGAAGTACCTATCAGGCCAAAGTATATACTACGACTTGTGAGTACATGGACCCCTTAGGAATAGGATGGAATAGAACACCGCACTGGCGCCGCTGCCGAAAGGATACCAAGTACCCGTATTTAGGACAAGGTAAGCTTCGATCTCCCTATGGCTACTTCGAACTCTTTGGCATGTTCTTAGGGTTTAGGGTTTAGGGTTTAGGGTTTAGGGTTTAGGGTTTAGGGTTTAGGGTTTAGGGTTTAGGGTTTAGGGTTTCAAGACTTGATTGTATTGGGACAAACGTGCAAGTTCTAAAGAATCCAGCGATTACGCAAGTATGATATTCAGCCCTAAACCCTCTACCCAAAACCCTAAATGAAGCCCTGAGACCTCTGAGTGAAACCCTAAACCCTAAACCCTAAACCCTGAACCCACTTCCCAAGCTACGGTTGAGAGAGAAACCCTACAAGGGCTCCCACCAGAATGTAGCCCTACTCCGACAAGGTCTAAGCATCTATAGGTGGAAGCCTTGCAAATCTAGGTCTTAGGGCTTTAGGGTTTAGGGTTTAGGGTTGAGGTTCAGGGTTTAAGGTTTAACCAATGTAGCCATTCCCAATATCGAAACCCGACTCTGTATTGCCTAGACTAAAAACATAATGTCAGACTCGGCCCCAGCAAACCATGATTATCAACACCCTAAACCCTAGACCCCGAAACACTACATGCTAAACCCCTAAACCCTAAACCCCTATGTAAACCCTAAACTCCTCAACCCTAAACCCCCAAACCCTAAACCCTAAACCCCTAAAGCCTACAACCCTAAACCCCGAAACCCTAAACCCCTCAACCCTAAGCCCCTAAACCCTAAACCCTTAAACCCTAAACCCCCAAACCCTACAAAACCGTACACCCTAAAACCCTAAAACCTACACACCAAAACCCTAATAGTCGTCGTAAGCTCTTCCCCTAAACCCTAAACCCCTAAACCTGCTTTCATAGTCGTCGTAAGCTCTTCTGGGCCCTCTGGGACTGCAAAAATCCAAGAAGGGAGCGATCTCGCGTTCAGCACTGCTTCGTGCATTCGCTTTGAGGGTCTATCGGGCTTCTTTGCCGTAAGAACTAAGTTAAAGGCAACTACTACAGGTGGGGAGTTTAGGGTATATAAGGCTTCTATAAAGATTCCATAAGGTATACAGAGCTTCTACAAGGCTCCTATAACGGTAACTACCCACCTGAAAATGTTCTAGACTAAGGGGGTAGATTTTGTTGGAGGATCGGGGTTAGACCAAGGCTTCAAAATGATACTGAAATCTAGGGGCCTCTTAACTAGACTAGGCTAGAGGGCTTTGCGCTCCTTTATGATACAAGTATAATAGGGAACTTAAGGAATATGAGTGGTAGTTGTTTAGGATTTAGGGCTTATAGCGTTGAAACGCTAGGGTTTAGGGGTTGAAGATTTTAGGTTTAGGCTTCCATAGTAGGAACTGAGCTGCGAACAGAAAGAGCTGGGGAGGCCACGGATTTGCTGCAACATCACGACGGCGCCGTGTGGCTGTGTCGATGGTCAGGACTGGCCGAGGCACAAAACGGCTAGTCTTAAGGGTTTAGGGTTCAGGGTCTAGGGTTCCGGGTGAAAGGCCCAAGTCTACGTGCAGTCTGGGCACTGGCCTTGCCCTAAATCATGCTACCATAATACGACGAAATGAACTCGAAAAGGGTTTAAGGTTCATGTCATGTACTAAATAGACGAGGGGTTCACAGTTTTAGGCTAATACTGATTGCTAGGACTAATACGAACACAATACTACTAATACCAATACTAAACGAGCCCAGCCGTGCAGTCGGTTAGCCATGGTTTTGGGATGTGCGTAGCTTTGGGGCACCCCGCCGAACCCGCACGTGGAAAGGTGAACTCACATGGGTAGTTCTCTAATTTAGGGTTCCTGTCTAAGTCCCCAATATAGTACGGCACCCTTATAAAAAGGACCCTAGAAGGGACCCTGATTTAGAAAACTGAAAACATAGGTTTTGGGCATGGCTTGCTTGGGGGTTATCAAGAGAAGAACTGCTGTTCCAGTTGCTGTTACAAGGATGACCCACACAGGCCGGACAACCACTACTTTTGATGATATACATCCTGCACTACCTTAAAGACCCTAAACTATGGGAATTATGGTATATTCCTTATTACGGGTAATGCAGGATATATATCAACCGTATAACCACTTTAACCTAGCATAGTGCGGGGCTGCGGGTCGACACACGTTTCCGAGAGTCGAACTTCAAGAAGCAGAACCAGTCAATCCCACCGCTGTAGACTAGAGCGTGAACCCTACCTTAAGAACCCCAAACCCGCTTTTTTGTAGGGTCCCTATAAACCCCATATTAGGGTTTATAATAAGAACCTACAAAAAAGCGGGTTTTGGGTTCTTAAAGTAAACCCCGCATCAAATCATACCAGCTCCAATCCAAAACAAGCCAGAGGGACAGTCGCCGCAACTTCCTTCGAGTAGGTTTAGAGGCTCGATGATCTCATACGATTGCAATAGGCTTTCCCAAAGGGTCCGAGGACCCAAATAGTAAGGTTTTAGGGCCCAAAATCCATACTCTGATTGGTTTTTGGACCATGAAACCCTACTATTTGGGTACTTGGATTCTTAGGGTTTAGGATTTAGGAATCAGGGCTACGCATGCTTACACTCTCTTACGAGCTGCGTGCTGCTGCCATTACTCTACTTCTGGTACCGTAGGACAGACAGCTGTCAATGCCTCAAAGATCGTTCTTGGCTGCAGCTGCAGGTAATTAGGTTGCATGTGCTGATCAACCTTTTCAGAGAACTAGTAAACCTCAAAAGAGAAGCCAGATTGGCATCCATAAGCTTAGAGAAGCAGTCGTGTGATGCCGAAGCCAGGGCTCTGCACCCTCACCCAACACCCTTCTTCCGGGAAGGTTGTAAACAAAAACAAACCCTAAACCCTAAACCCAAAACCCCAAACCCCAAACCCAAAAACCCTAAACCGTAAACCCTAAACCCTAAGGACCTGGACCTTAAGTCATCCATCCGAAACGTAGAGCCTCACGCCCACCCAGGTATGAAACCAGAAACTTTCAACCCGATTACAGAAATTATCACCTTTCTACGGTCTGTGGATCGCTGTATGCAGGAAAGAGTTATGTTATATACGGACTATAACGGGGATATGGTTTCAAATTATGCAGGTCTCCATATTAAAATCTCCGATGTAGATCCTGCTCTGGGTGAGCCACATTCATTGCACGGAGCATTTCTTGATTTAAACAAGGGTGCCGGGGGGGTTGTTTTCCATACTTGTATCAAGGGAAAAGTATTGATTCCAGTAGCTACTCAAGCTTCATTTCTATATTGTGACAAAGACGCCAAATAACCCAATGAAGGAAACCCTAAACCCTAAACCCTAAACCGTGGCAGCAGTGAAACAGCCTGGTGGCTCGAGCTAGGTGTGCAGGCTAAAGGTTAAAATTTTATAAGGCGTTCAGGGCTTAAGTCTGCGATGTAAGGGCCTTAATAGTTAGAATAGGGTTTTCGGGATTCCTTACTATAATTTATAGTATAATATACCCCAAAACCCTGTTCTAATTATGAAGGCCCCTACGTACATTAAGTTTACTTAAAAGATCATGGGACTTAGTAACTAAGGTTATTATCACGGTAACTACACTTATAACTACTTATAACCCCAGTTAAGGTACTTATAACCACACTTGCTAAGTCCCGTGATCCTCCAAGTATCAGGGGTTCAGAGCTTAAGTCTGTAGTGTTTGGGGTTTTGGACTTCGGGGTTTTCGGCATCGGATCTTTGGGGTGCAGACTCTTATGTAGGGGCCTTAATAATTAGAATAGGGTTTTGGGGCCCATTATACTACATTCATAATCAGAACCCCCAAAAGAGTATAGGTCATTTGGCCAGCCCCTAAATTGGAGCTTTTGGGCTTAGGGTTAAGGCTTGGTTGGGGCTCGGAGTGGCTGTGAACTTTGAACCATAAGGCTATCAGGTTGTAGAACCTGTCAATAAACATACCACCTTCATGGGAAGGCACTATAAACGCCCGAACCAAAACCCACAGCCCAAAAACCCTACAAACTGTATACCAAGCAAGTGGCCACTGCTCTCGTCACGGATGGCGATCTTGTGCACTCCGGCATTGAGGCCTTTGCTCGTCTCGTAAGTTCGGGTCTGTCTTGGTTGTTGTTAAGGAACCTACTTCACGTTCGCACGCCTTAATGATTGGGGAAATTGCAAACCCGTTACTTATTGGTCATCATCCCTTTCGTACAGAAGGTGCTAGCACCCTTCTAAACCGCTGCCCACATCCTTGTTCTTGTGCTGAAGCCAACCCTGAAACACATAAAGCATGCTACCAAACTCTGCATGCTTATCCCAATCAACACCCTAACATACCAAACGTGCAGTACAAAGTGGATACTGCCCACATAGGTGCTTCGATCCGGTTGGGTTCTGCCTACCTGAAAGCAACGGGCCTTGAAAACGCTCACAGGTTGAGGGTTTAGGGCTTAGCTTTACACTCCATTCGAAGTCAATGCTCGGTTATCCGGTTGTCCGGTGAGGACCCGGCAAATCACAAACTGCCATGAAGGGTCTAGTCTAGGTAAGGTTTCGGGTTTTGGTGGGCAGGGGCGTGGATTGCCTTCCGGATCGTTTTCGAATCTCAACGACAAGCCTAGGCGCTTAAAAAGGTTCGACAGAATCGGAAAGCCCAGCAACCCCATAATGAGATTCTGAGCCCTTAACCCATCTATATAAAGCAAAGCGCCACCTCGGTATTGCTGCTTGAAACTAAACTTGAAACCCTGAAATGTACAACCAACAACCTACAGCCAAAAGACACAAATACCCCAAAGTCTAGAAGCCGTGAAACCCTAAGACCTAAGTCCTAGAACCCAAGACCTACCAATCCCCAACCCTAAACCCCAAACAACTGAAAGTAGCCCCTCAGGGAACCTTCATCTCTACACCTCAAACCCTGAACCCTAAACCCTAAACCCGAAACCCTAAACCCTAAACCCTGAACCCCAGCTCCTCCACCCTAAACCCGAAACCCTAATCAACCCTAATCAAACCTAATCAACCCTAAACCCCAAATCCTCCACCCTATATCCGAATGTAGGGGCCTTAGTAATTAGAATAAGGTTTGTTTAGGATTTAGGGTTTAGGGGTTAGGGCCCATTATATACGAATTAGGATAAGGAACCCTAACAGTAATGTTGGTAATTACCACTTAACCTTCTATATTAAATCCTAAACCACAAATCCTCCAACCTCAACGCTAAGTCTTAGACCCTAAACCCCTAAAACCCTGAAGCCCTAAACCCAAAGCCCTAAAGCCCCAAAGCCCAAAAGCCCAAAAGCCCAAAAGCCCTAAACCCTAAAGCCTAAAGCCCTAAAGCCCTAAAACCCTAAAGTCCTAAAGCCCAAAAGCCCTAAAGCTCTAAAGCCCTAAAACCCTAGAGCCCTAAAGCCCTAAAGCCCTAAAACCCAAAAGCCCTAAAAGCCCTAAAACCCCAAAACCCTAAAACCCAAAAGCCCTAAAAGCCCTAAAGCCCTAAAGCCCTAAAAGACCTAAAACCCCAAAGCCATAAACCCTAAAACCTTAAAACCCTAAACCCTAAAACCCCAAACCCTAAAACCCTAAGCCCTAAACCCCGGGCTGTTTGGGTTCCTCTGCATCCTCGCATGTTTCCGAGGCTTTGGCTGTAACCTGGCAGGTTGAACTCACAGGCCTGGCACACAAAAAAAAAAGGGTTCTGGTTTGGGGTTTGGGGTTT